AATCTATATTATCATCTTGATAATATACATGTATTCATGTGCTACTATATGAAACTCAAATTCATGTATGCATATTATTCGTTACATTTTTTATTTTACCTTGCGCCATATAGCTTTGAACGCAGGTTGACAATACTAACTTTGCGCTCATAGAACATGTTTTGAAAATATCGCCACGTACTTCGGATACAGCTCGACGATATGAACAAACAAGTCACGCCAGCAACATGGTGGCACCGCACTTCGCTCGAGAACAAAGTGCAGTGTGATTCGAGCTATCTACATAAAGATTCCCATGAAGCCTCGATTTTGCGCGATCGCCTCGAGGTTATACATATACGATGTCAATCTGTGCGTAGCTTGCAGTCACACAGTGCTGCTGCGATCAAGAAGTGCGCGCGAGGGCGGTTGCACTGCGAAGCCGAGTAAACCGAATCAGAATATTTCACCATGCATCGAAGACGAGTCTTATCGAGATCGTTTATCGAGTTTTCCCTACTACGAAAGCTCGTCTTCGCGAACGCGATCTTTTTCTATGCTAGCTGCACCTTCCCAGAAGGGGAAGAGGAAGCACGAACGAATGGAGCGTGTACCGTCGATCGACATCGTCAATAACCGAAGGCAATTCCTATACGACATTCGGGCGACATATTGGGATGAGACTCTCGTTGACTTGTTTGCATTTACCTCGGTTGTATCGCGGATGCATCGGACTAGCTATGAAAGGGAAAAAAAGTGCTTGGCGATGCCGCGTCAGTCAAATATAAAAGCTACTGCTATTGTTGCTGCTTCATTTACTCCCTTTTTTTCCTTTCTCGTCATCGGCTTTATTTTGCTTATATGTAGTTGGCCAAGGTATGCACGAAGCCTCTCAAAAGTACAATATTATACTCATAATTAATCAAAACTGATGTTTATAAAAGTGATTCATTTTAAGCTTAATAGGCGAATATTTTGAAAATATGCCATTTTATTAAAAAACATTCCAAATAAAAAACTGTATGGCGACTTTTCTTTCTGTACCATATAATTTCATATTCCCTAGTACAATTTTCTTTTACAAAATTAAAAAACACATTGTATATAAATATTTATTTTTTTAAACAATAAAAAGGTAAACAAGACTATTAAATGAATAAATCAAATACGTTATAAGGCTGAGGTTTACCTGCTGCATTCTACACTTCAAACAGGACGTTTCAGAATTTAAGTGTAATTTTTATAGTTATAATTGAGGTTAACGCTTAATTTTAATAATCATAAGTATTTTAAATTATAATTTTGCAACGTCAAAACTTAAAGTTTTTAATTCACATTAAGATCTTGCATTTCGTAAAAAAACGCTAAATACAGTCGAGTGACTGAATATTAATACCTAATAATATTTTCATGTAAATTTGAAATACATCTTTCAATATAAACTACGTGCTGATTACTATCATAAATTAAAATAATCTCACTAATTAAATTAAATCGATTTGGTCGATAATAATGCTGCTAATCCTAATAGCAGAATTATTGGCACAATATTGACCAAATATTGGCTCGATAAATCTTTAATGTTTAACCAAGGTATCGCCAGTAAATTATTAGTAGTATTTTAAAATCCATAAAGAATACTTATTGCAAGAAAGGATTCAAATTTATGTAGACTTTTTTGACTATCTCTAGGGCGAATTTTTTTTAATTTTAAATTAAAAATCTATTATATTTTATATATGACATGTATATTTTATATTATATTCATATATAATGAATATTAAAAACGGTTGTATGTTTAATTCTCGAAATAAAGTTATCCTGTTTAAAGATTTCTTTAAGCCACATTTACGACAACCTCAGTTACCAAACTGGAAAATATGCATATCGTTCACATGTCGGTTTTTCTGTTTACAGTGCCACCGACGAAGCCGATAATCTATGATGCGAAGAAGCGAGACATGAGTAAACTCCTCGAGGCTTACCCGGAGGGAGCTGACCTGTTCCTGGTCTGCGAGGTGCATGGAGGTAAATGTCAACCATAATGTTAACATAACTTTATGTACACTTTCAATAGTTGCTTTATAGAATAGTTCGAAAGAAGCATTTGCATATTAATGTTTAATTTTAATCATAAATAATACATTCGTATTATAATTTTGTAACATCAAAATTAGAAGTTTTAAATTTACAAGGTATGCACTCGGTTTTATTATACTCAAGAAGCTTATCACAAAGCTTTGTAGCTAACATAAATTATCTGGAGTATATATAGGATA